TGCAGAGGCAGACGCAAGGGCTTGTCAGTTGGACGAGTTGGTGGCAGAATGCAATCCAGAGCTTCAAGCAGTGTGGTTCCACTGGCATTGCCATCCTTCCGGGTGACTTTCCATCCCTTGAACCAAGGCATGTTTGCACTTGGCTCCAACATGTTGTCACCATTCCAACCAGAAATTGGCACAAATGCTACTGTGTCAGGGTTGTAGCCAATTTTCTTAATGTAAGTGCTGACTTCTTTAACGATTTCCTCGTATCTCTTCTGGCTGTAGGGTGGCTCAGTGGAATCCATCTTGTTAACATCAACAATTAGTTGCTTTACACCCAGTGTGTAAGCCAGAAGGGCGTGCTCACGGGTCTGCCCATTCTTTGAGATACCAGCTTCAAATTCACCAACACCAGCGGCAACAATCAGGACAGCACAGTCAGCCTGAGATGTGCCTGTAATCATGTTTTTGATAAAGTCTCTGTGTCCTGGGGCATCAATGATAGTCACATAGTATTTGCTGGTCTCAAATTTGCACAGGGAGATATCGATGGTGATACCACGCTCACGCTCAGCCTTCAGTTTATCCAAGACCCAGGCATACTTGAAGGAGCCCTTTCCCATCTCAGCTGCCTCCTTCTCAAATTTTTCAATGGTTCTCTTGTCAATGCCACCACATTTGTAGATCAGATGTCCAGTAGTGGTGGACTTGCCCGAATCTACGTGTCCAATGACGACAATGTTGATATGAGTCTTTTCCTTCCCCATTTTGGATTGTACGGGTGGTTTTCACAACACCTGTGTTCTGGCGGCAAACTCGTTGTGAAAAAGCGGTAACTATGTACATTAATGCACTTCTGGGGTACAGTGTGGGGTTTTCACATGCCAGAAGTACAATTTTCATACAATCACTAATGATTTATAAAAACTTGCAATTTAAAGAAACCCTGAATATATTAAAAGTCTCATACTGGCATCAGATAGAGGTAAGGTATGTCTACATTGTATCTCTTATGACTATCATTTTTTCCAATTTTTAAAACTGTGATAAAATACATGTAACAAAATTTACTCTCTTAATCATTAGGTGTACAATCCAGTAGTATGAAGTATATTCATGTTATTGTACAACTATTCCTACTAACCAGTACTTGTTTTCATCTTTTAAAATCGAAACTCTGTGCCCCCTGAGCAGTAAGTCTCCTTTATTCACTCTTCTCTCTGCAAACCACCATTCTACTTTCTGTCACTATAAATTTGACTAGGCTTGGTACTTCATATAAGTGGAATCATATAATACTTGTCCTTTTGCATCTGGCTTATTCCACTTAGTGTAATGTCCTCAGGGTTTATCCACATTTTAGCATGTGCTAGAATTTCCTTCCTTTTTAAGGCTCAATGTTGTATGTTTATACCATATTTTACTTAACCATTCACCTGTTGATAGACATCTGGATTGCTTTAAACTTTTGGTTTTTGTGAATAATGTTATAAACTAAAAATATCTCTGAAAGACTTTGCTTTCAATTCTTTTGTGTATATTCTCAAAAGTGGAACTGTTGGATAATATGGTAATTCTATTTTTAATTTTTTGTGGATGTGCCATACTGTTTTCTATAGTGGCTACATCATTTTATATTCATACCAACAATGCACAGGGTTCCAATTTCACCACATATTTATTCAACACTTGCTGAGTTTTGTTGTTTGATTATAGTCTCCTAATGAGGTGGTATCAAACTGTGGCTATGCCTTGCATTTCCCTAATGATTAGTAAAGTTGAAGGTCTTTTCATGTGGTTATTGAGCATTTGTATAGCTTTTGGAACAATTCCAAAGGTATATTCAAGTCCTCTGAACATTTTCAAATTGAGTTTTTCTATTGTTGCTGAGTTTTATAAGCTCTATATTCTTGATGACAATCCCTTAGCAGATAAATTACCTGCAAACAGTATTTATCATTCTATGAGTTGTTAATTTTTCCTGTTGATAAGTATCTCTTTATGCACAAAAGTTTTCAATTTTCATGAAGTCCATTGTCTATTCTTCTTTATTTGTTTTGGTAGTTATTTGGTTTTAAGACAAGAGTCTTGCTCTGTCACCCTGGCTAGAATGCAGTGGTGTCATCACAGCTCACAGTAACCTCAGATTCCTGGGCTTAAAGAATCCTCCTGTCTCAGGCTATGGAATGGCTGGGACTATAGGCACACACCACCATGCCTCACTAACTTTTGTCTATTTATTGTAGAGACAGGTTCTCTCTCTTGTTCAGGCTGATCTCAAACTCCTGACCTCAAGCAATCCTTCCGCCTCAACCTCCCAAAGTACTAGAATTATAGGTTTGAGCCATCACACTGAGCCTAGTTTATCTATTCTTCATATTGTGAAGTTTTGCCCTACATTTTTTTCCTAAGAGTTTTATAGTTTTAATTCTTACACTTAAGTCTTTATCCAATTGAGTTAGTTTTTGTATACAATATTAGGTAAGGGTCCAAATGCAATCTTTTGCATATAGATATCCAGTTTTACCTATACCATTTGTTGAAAAGACTACCCTTTCCCCCAGTGAATGGTATTGGCAACATTGTTAAAAACCAAGTGACAACAGACACTTGGTTTTAATTCCATTCCAAAGTTTATATATCTGTCTTTATACCAGTACTACATTGATCTTTTTTCCTTTGTAGCTCTACATTAAGTTCTGAAATCAGGAAGTCCTCCAACTTTGTTCTTTTTTTTTTCAACATTATTTCTGTTATTCAGGGTCCACTTCTGCAAAAAAAATCATCATCTTTGTTTTCTTTTTTGCTTTGTCACCCAGGGTAGAGAACAGTGGCAGGATCAAAGCATTGCAGCTTCTAACTCCCAGGTTTGATTTATCCTCCCAACTTAGCCTCCTGAGTAGCTGGGACTATAGGTGCACGTCACTATAACAAGATTTTTTTTGAGAGTCTCACTTTGTTGCCTGGTAGAGTGCTGTGCCATTATAGCTCACAGCAATGTCCAACTCTTGAGCTCAAAAGATTCTCTTGCCTCAGCCTCCCAAGTAGCTAGGACGATAGGCACCTGCCACAACACCCAGCTATTTTTAGAAGTGAGGTCTCACTCTGGCTCAGGCTGATCTGGAACCCATAAGCTCAGGTGATCCAATCACCTCGGCCTCCCAGAGTGCTAGGATTACATACATGATCCACTGCGCCAGCCAACATCCAGCTATTTTAAAAAAATTCTTTGTAGAGCAGTCTCACTGTGTTGCCTAGGCTGATATCAAACTCTTGGCCTCAAGCAATCTTCCTGCCCAGGCTCACAAAGTGCTAGGATTGCAGGTGTGAGGTCACTTCTCCTGGATGTCATTAGGATTTTGATAGGGCTTGCGTGAATCTGTGAGACTGTTTTGGGTAGTACTTATATCTTAACATTAAGTCTACAAACAATATTAAATCTATGAACGTGGGTTCCTTTCCATTTATTTATGTCTTTTTCTTTCAGCAATGTTTTGTAGTTTTATTATACAAATCTTTCACTCATTTGGTTACATAACTTCCAAAGTATTTTATTCTTTTTTAATGCTAGTGCAAAATAGGTTTTTGTAATTTCCTTTTCAGATTGTCCATTTTTAGTATATAGAAATGCAACTGATTTCGTTTATTTTGTATCCTACTATTTACTTTTTTAAAGTAGTTCTAACAGTTGTGGGTTGTTTTGGTATTATCTTTAGGGTTTTATACATACTTAAGAAGATACCACCTGTGAATAGCAATCTTCTTATTTCTTCCTTTTCCATTTGGATCCTTTCTTCTTAAACTACCTAATTCAGTGGTTCACAACCTTCCTAATTCCACGGCCCTTTAATACAGTTCCTGTGGGTTGCAACCCACAGGTTGAGAACTGCTGGCCTAATTTCTCTGGCTAGAACTTTAGTACTATGTTTAAGAGAAATGGCAAAACTGAACATGAACTGAGTATTTATTTCCCTTGTTCCTGATCCTGGAGGAAAAGCTTTCAGTCTTTCACTGTTTAGTACAAAATTCCCCGTGGTTATTTTCATATACACCTTTTACTATGTTAAGGTAATTTTCTTCTATTCTTTCAATGTTCTTATCATGAAAGGATGTTGAATCTGTCAAAACCCTTTCCTGTACCAACTGAGATAATCAGGTGAGTTTTTCTCCCTTTATTCTGTTATTGTGATGTATATTACTTTGGTCAATTTTAGAATGTTGAATCACCCTTGCATTACAGAATAAATCCCATTTGGCCATGATACATAATCCTCTTAATGTGTTGCTAGATTTGGTTTACTAATATTTTGTAGAGGATTTTTGCACCAATGTTCACAAGAGATATTAGTCTGTAATTTTCTCATAGTATCTTTGTCAGATTTGGTGTCAAGACAATGCTGGCACCATAGAATGAGTTAGTCAATTATTTTAAAGTTTGAGATGAACTGGTGTTAGTTCTTCTTTGAACGTTTGGTGGAATTCATAAGTGAAGTTATCAGGTCCAGGGCTTGTTTGTCAAGATTTTTTTTATTATTATTACTGACTCAATCTCCTTACTAGCTATTCAAAAATCCTTGTCTGCTAACTCAATCACCTGGTTTTCTCTGGTTCTATTTCTCTTGCCTGACTTTTCTTCTATTTTGGGGTCACATTTCCCTGCTTCTTCATAGTAATTTTTCACAGGATATTTGCCACTGTGATTGCCTTGTTGTTGGGTGTCTGAATTTTGCAGTCCTCCACTGAAGAGTGTTAAGCCCAACTTTGTCAGGTAGTTAGGTTACTTGCAGGTCAGCTTTCAAGTATTTTTAAGTCTTGTTTGTTGGTATGGGCTCATGGTAGCCTTCACTCTAGGAGTACCTTAGCCTTAGTACTAAGGTGTGACCTTTTTGAGGTCTCTACTGAATGCCCCCAGATATTCAACAAAGTCTCTTTACTATGTCTGATCAGAATTCAGCTACTGCTCAACCTTATATAAGCTCTGAGAATTGTTCAGCTTATACCTTCTTGGAATTGTTCTGTTCTCTGCCTAGTGTCTTAAATTTCACTCTAAGTAAACACAGCTTAGTGTTCAGCCAAAGATGCAAAGAAATCCTATGCAGATATTTAGAATACTGAGTATTTCCCTTCCCTTCTCTCTGAAAAAATGTCCCACAAATCCCACCCATTTCAGCCTCCCTGAACCCTTATTTCGGCCTCCTCCACTCAGTGAAACCACTATGTTCTGTTTGGAATCTCCTTCTACGGGCTTTGATCCTACAAGTATCTCCAGGCAGAAAGACAGGTTCATATTAAGGCTTTCCATTTCTTTTCTTTCAGTGATCACAATTCTGGTTGGCCAGCTGCCCGATGTTTGAAAACAGTTGTTTCATAGATTTTTCATACTTTTTTCTTTTTGCTTTGTCCAAATTTTTATTTACAATAGGAGTGCAAGTTCGAGTCCAGAACCAATTTACTTCATTATGGCTTGGAACGAATTCTCCTCTCCATATTTTTTTCTTTTAAAAGAGACAGAGTCGGGGTGGCACCTGTGGCTCAAAGGAGTAGGCCGGCGGCCCCATATACTGCAGGTGGTAGGTTCAAACCCAGCCCCAGCCAAAAACTGCCAAAAAAAAAAAAAAGAAAAGAAAAGAAAAGAGACAGAATCTTACCATGTCACCTTTGGTAGAGTGCTGTGGCATCACAGCTCACATCAACCTCAAACTCCTGGGCTTAAGCGATTCTCTTGCCTCAGCCTCCCAGTAGCTGGGACTACAGGCACCCGACACAGTGCCTTGCTATTTATTTGTTGCAGTTGGCCCCAGCCAGGTTCAAACCTGCCAGCCTCAGTGT